AATAAATCCAAGTGCATCCTAATAATACAAAATATTAAAACTGATCCACAAGAAGAGCTCAATGTATTATAACAGAACCAATAAATAGTATTACACAACAAAATCCCAAAATACTTCATATGGGGGAGTGATCTACTTCATCCGACGAAAAATAGCTCAGTGTTCTTCAACCTCGATGTATAGACTGAATTTGTGTCGGAATTAAAAATTTAACTCTGACAGCCGTCGAAAAATTGAACCAGAATTTATCCATTCTGATGTTTCAATCAGACGAAATGCCTCGAGACGGTGATTGGAAGGTATTAGCCTTAAATGTAAGAGGTTTTATAAAATTAAACCCGGATATTAACCGTATGCCATTAAGTTGGGGTTATACGAAGATTAAGGTTTTAATTTGAAACTAAAATAGGACTGAAAAAGGAATTTTATATAAAAAATACATATATATATATATATGGTTAGGTTCCTACGATTGATATAATTATAAAGGTCATTTACATCATTCCATCTCTCCCTCCATTAAAAATTAAAACTAACTTATTAGGGAACTACCCTTTACTTGTACCACTGAAGTTTAATTCTATGACCATCAAAATAACATCTACATACGACGTGATGGCGTTTACATGGGTTCAGTTCTGGGACCAACATTTAGTAACTAACCTTGAAAATAAAATCTTCCGTCTACCTAAGGTATGTAGATGATATTTTCCTCTTAGTTAAGAATAGAGATGAAATACATGAACTACAAGGAAAATTTCTAAAAAAAACTCCGTTCTTAACTTCATATATGAACTTAACAATAACAATAAAATTCATTTTTTTGATGTATTGATAGACACCAATAATAATACATTTACTAATTCCTCGAATAAAAAAAACAACTTGTATAAACACGTGCTCTCTCAACTATAAAATCGAATGTTCTGACTAATACAAAATAGCTATTATAAAAAAATTTATAAACCATAAAAAATCTATACTGAATTAAAAAAATTAAATTCTCATTAATAATGACTTTTTTCTCATTAGAACATTGATGAACAAATTAGACGAGCCATTAGAAATATTAATATAAAAAGAACATAATACTTTCTCAAATAACCCATGATATATAATGACCGTAATCAAATGCATTCTAACTATAAATAAAGTGAAAAATCCTAAAAAAACATATCATAAGTACTAATATATTCCCCACTGATCCCAGTAAAAAATAAAATTAATTATATACTATACTAGATTTAACACAACTAATCAGTTTAAATATCATTTGGAAGATTGTATGTCTTGACGACAACATTATCAAAACGGACAAGTTCTATCGCACAACATTAAAGAGTGTAGTAGCAATGTTTTGAAATGCATTTGAGTTTACTAACATTTAACACCATGTTATATTTTACCATCTCTGGTTACCATTCTTGCATTTTGAAAGTCTTGTTTACAAAACATAGTAGCTGAAACGGTTAATTTTAAAATAATTATAACAGAGATCATTCATGCGTGTTTACAAAAATCACCTTAATAACGATCACAATTACAATAAGTTTGTCTTCGCAATTCACCTCTGAAGATGATCTCAGAGAAGATCGAAAGTACTTGGGTTAACAAAAAATACGGCGCCTCCCTTGATTAATTTCAACTTAACATCAAGAAGGTTATTAGATAAGTGGAAAGGATTACTATAAAAATAGACACAATATTATTAATATTATTATTTAATGAAACATGCTTGAATGAAGATATGTTGTTTAAATATACATACATATATATATATATATATGTGTGTGTGTGTGTGTGTGTATATATATATATATATATATATATATATATATATATATATATATATATATAATCTATGTGTGTGTGTCTGTGTGTGTATAATTAATTTCATATATATAGAAATGTGAAATAAGAAGGAGGAAAAACGCCGGTTACAGTTTACATTGAAAGAATAAAAGATACAAAACGATATAATATATATATATATATATATATATATATATATATATATATATATATATATATATATCAGAGAGAGCTGAGTTCGAATTCCACTCTAATCCATTACATTCCCTTATATGCTAATACCGTTGGGAAAGGTATTAATCCCTTTCTTCTCCCTCCAGCTATATGGGTAAATAGCAGGACAGACTGGTTCTATAGCATAGAATGGCAACTTGTCTAGGAGAAGGACAACTCTGAATTCAAAACCTGCGGTGGGTGGTTTTGGGGAACTTGTGGGACGTAGTGCACCAGGTCTCTGTATTCGGCCCTTCAAAAAGTGTGGTTGGTTCTGCACAAAGCCTTCACCACTATAATCAAATCGCATGCGATGGTGTCTGGGCTGTCGGTTCCTAAGGACTGAGCTGCTTGACCCTCATACGTCTAATAGGACGGGTGAACCCACCATATATAAATGAGAGACAGATATTTGGTAAGTTCTTTTATGAATCTTGATCGCAGTATTTGTTTTTCATTTAAAAAGGTATTGAGGGAAATATCTGTTGTGTTCCATGTTTTTCCACAAAGTCGGAAGTATGGGGCACCCAGTGAGGATCGAACTTATTACTCAGTCGTAAACTGATCTAGCAAGGCAAGCTTGCTAACAATTCTAACAAGTACAAGTGCCCAAAGTTTTACTTTTCGCAGTAATGCTATGTGTATGCATATACATCATTCCAATCTCTCTCTCTCTCTCTCTCTCTCTATCTATCTATCTATCTATCTATCTATCTATCTATCTATCTATCTATTCCACTCTGTTCCTATCTATCTATCTATCTATCTATCTATCTATCTATCTATCTATCCTTTCATATCCTCTGTTTCTCGTTATTAAATAACTCAAACTACTGACTTTTTTTAATCCCAAAGTAAGCAACGTTGAACGTTTCCTTGATAGCCTTTTGCGTTTAGCAAAGTTGAAGTGGCTTTCTTCACGCGAATGCAATCAACTCACAAATACACATTTCCTATTTATTTTTGTCACACTTATTTGAAAAGACATTTTTGAATTCTCAATTAAGGTCTTTCCAACGAAGAATTTCACTGCTTCCTTTTCCATCCTTTCAAGTAGACTGAGCCGTACAATTTCTTAGGAGATAATTTTCTTCCTATGCTTTTGTTATGTGTATTTCATTCTTGCACTAAAATGTCTTATGCAATTCAGGTTTCTGAGAATCCTTCAAATGGATCATACACTAATACGGATTTGTAAGCTGCTTGTTCAGCATGCGAGATTAAAAAAATATAAAACAGGAATATTTTTCCGAATAAAAAGTAAACGGAAAAAAATTAACAGACTTAGAGGTATATGTCATAGCTGACAATGGATATAATCGGTATTTTTATCAGCTTGTGGTGTTAACGTATTTCTTCCCAGATTCATAGGGAAGGAATGGGTCATTACCCTACCACACTAGCCCAATGCGTGTTGGGAGAGGTGGATGTTTTTCGATTCAAGAACGCCCATGGGCATTTACTTAAATGAATGTAATGAACCCGACTAGAATTCGAACATAGCTCACCGATTTCTTATCTACAGCCCTTAACCCATTATATCGCTCGCACATCCCCGCATACATTACCTGATATTCCCAAGAAGTCAGCCATCTAGATACTGACCAGGCTCGACGTTAGTTGTTAGAAAAGAGAACCGGAGATTCACGTGATATGGGCGTAAGCTATTTAATAGCTATTATCTCAAGATCAATTAATCTGAGGAAATCGGTGTTACAGTTTTTTGGGTATACGACGTATATAACTAATGAGCGAGTCAGAATGACTTATTTCCCTTTATAGTCGACCAATAGAAGGTTGACCAATCAGAAGCCGCACAACACTGTATTCGTCGTGTATAAAGGCGGACATCTTTTTTTCTCCTATCGGAAGGACCAGAGGCAACTTGTCCGGCGAATATGACAGACGGAAGAACTACGCTGTGCTACTTTGCTGCGATATCCACTGCGAACCTGCACTACGATTTCCTACTTTCTCCGAAATATTCACTGCCAACCTCTGGATTCTATACTGGAAGACGACCGTCATGAAAATGTCTAACAATCGGATGACCAATATAATCACTTAACTTTTTTCTTTCGGTCTAGTTTTGCAGTCTATCGATGTCAAGAAGGCGTAGGATGAGAGAGAGAGACACACACACACACAGAGAGAGAGACAGACAGACAGACAGAGACAGAAATAGAGAGAGAGAGAAATAAAGGTAGAGAAAGAAAGAAAGAAAGAAAGAAAGAAAGAGGGAGGGAGAGAGAGAGAGAGAGAGAGAGAGACTACCAGTTCTGGAGTGGAGGTTCATACAACCACTTTGGCCAACAATGCATAAAGAAAAAGAAAATATTCCCCTTAGATGCGATTCTTGAACTACGCTTTCTCTGACATCAACTATATTTTTCACCAGAGGAACAAACCTGGCCATAGGAAACTGGTGGTCCTATTTTAGCTGGTGCGTAGGATGTAATTATCATCAGGTCTTTTGTTCTGCTTTGTCTTTTGATGACGTATCCCACAACCATGTCGGTGACAGCCTTTTTACTTGGTGTGTTCAATGCACGCTGCAATCTTTTACTCTTCCAATAACAAACGAACCATCTCTCTGCATGATTCTTTCATGTATTTTAGACATTCTTTATTACACTCTGTTCGCTATCACTTCTTCAATTATCATTCCCCTTCTCTTCAGGACTGTAACATATTAAATAAAATAGCTCACAGTACAGACACGTCTCTCTCTCTCTCTCTCTCTCTCTCTACATTTCTTTATTTGAAGTGACTTAATCATTTTAATGCCACTGATATTTCCGGTTTACTCGTTTTCCATTGCTCAATCCCAGTCAAATTGTGGATTTACCTACCCGTTTCCCTATCATTCTGATCAACACCCTTCTTCACTTGATCTGTTCCTTACATTCTCTTCTGATTCTTGTCGAATATAGCAACCCTATCTTCTGAGCAAATCGAATAATTCTGTACTATCTACTGATATTCCTTTTGATTCATCTGTTAGACATGAACTTCCTATTGACATTTTCTGTTACCAGCGTGCTGACTGGGATTAATATCGTCACTTTTTCGAGACGCCCCTTGGATTGATATTCTTAACCTCCCTATTACGTGTTGTGCCAGAGAGATTTCATCTTGGGTAGAAGGTAAAAGCTAGCATCGGCCCCTTTGAAGCTTTTTGTATAGACCAGGTGAAACCTCTGTGGTTCACACTGGCCAGTTAAGCCTCTATAGCTCAAAGGAATCAATTTTTCAGGATGTATCTACATAATAGATCTGATCATATCAGACGCCTCTTTGTATCTGGCCTATAACCAGTAATACAGAGAGTGAATTACTTCAGGCCTGCATACTTCATAATATTATATTCTATCGGAAAGACTCTATTTCCTCTTTTCTTCCGATTGGTCCAGCTATACGACCTACAGCCAATTAATCTCTAATTTTTGATCCCTGAACTTCTGTCTAAGACAGACGGTCATTTATTGAGTCTTCAAGACATTATTATGCCAACTGATATTGTGAAGTATAGATTAATTTATTGTACTGCTAAATCCTGACTGCTTTTATAAATTTTTAAAGTATAATTTGAAATAAAATAAGATTAATGGAAATCAATTAAGACCATCAACACTTCTTGTTTTTCAAACCATAAAACAAAAATAATATATATATATATATATATATATATATATATATATATATATATATATATATATATATATTGCCACACAAGTGGCTTTTCTCAATTATTCCGTTATATACGAGGAATCTACGAAAGATAAAAAAAGACGAATAGTTATAAATCGTCAAAAATTAAAACATTTTGAAGGCTGTAACACACAGAACAAACGCGGTTATGCAACATTTTTGTAACAGCTACAACAGGTTTAATATTTGAGTCCATGCGAATGTGACGTCACGACAAAGATGGCTGCTGCCATAAAACACTGGATAAGCATAGAGATGTGTGGTGTAATAAGGTTTTGTATGCCAAGGGCAAAAATCCAACTTTTGGTCCCAAAGCAATTGATTGAAGAACACAATTTCCAGCGCATGGGTATTTGTTTTCAGGTTTTGGAACAGTATAGGGAAGTTGATGGAGACGGGTGATGAGACCTAGGTGCATGACGTTACCCCGGAGACAAAGATTGATTCCATGACCTTAATGCATCCATCATCTCCGACCGTGCAAAATTTACAGTTCAGCCGCCAGTAAATAAATTGATAGCAACTGTGTGTGCCGCTTGTCTATTTCATGCTGCAGAGACGGACATTTAATACAGTCGGATACATGGAAACATGGTGGACAACCTAAGGGAAGCTGCATGTCGTTTGTATAAGAATGTCATTCTGCGACAGGTCAAATCTTCTCACACAGACCCCCCCCAAGGAATAGTTCCAGCGTTATGACAGATGTTTTACTGCATCTACCACAGAGTTCTGATTATACTTATTAACTATTTGGAATCGCCAAACGATATTTATTCTGTAAGCAACACTACACAGATTAAAATGTTTCAGAGATGCAAGGATAGTTTCATTCGAAGATGAAGGAAATTATGCACTCTGTAACTCAATTCTATCAGCCACATATTCGGGTTATTGTTGACTAATCCGATTCATCCAACAAACCTTTCTGGGAAGGAGAGTAGCCAGTTGGTGATGATGCAACACTAGAGTAATTGAACAAATCTCGCTGGCAGCTACGTGTAAAAATAACACAGTAATTCTCATAACATGAGAACAATTATTGGTATACTAGTACAAAACCCTTAACTTTTTGGACATCTATCGTGTATTATTTGGATGTACTGTCCTTTTCTTATCACTGAATAACACTACAACACGCTATTTGACACCAAGGTGACCCTTTTGTGGCATCACTGGAGACGGACACTGCGGTATTGTGGCGTAACTAGAATTCTGATTAAAGACGCACGCTTCAATAATCCTGATGCATCTGACGCGGTGACTGCCAACTCAAAATAATAAATATTTAATAAAATTCTTTTTACACGTGTGAGGTATCAATAAAAGTCTTTGAGTGTCAATATTCTTTTGAGAAAATGACCGACAAAGCTTTATTTTCATAACCGCAGAAGCCATATCTCCAACTAGTGATGATGGCTCCTTTCTTTGAGCATAATATTCTTTTATAGACTTTCCAAATTATATATATATATATATATATATATATATATATATATACACGTTATTTTAATTTAATATATTTTGTTGCTATACGTTATTTATATATACATAAATATTTAAATAAATGACCTTTTTTTTTATAATAAACAGTATTAATGACATTTACCGGCCTGTACGTCCGAGAGATATATTCGAATACTTATAAATTGAATTATAATAAAACCTAGTTTTCTTTGCTGACAATCATTTCAAAAGGCATTATGGAAATATATGTTGATTGGGAAATGGGGAAAATATTGCTATTTTATGTCTAAAGCTGAAATATTCACTAAACTCTTACCATTATGAAAGGATAGGAAAGACTAGCGGGTCAATGTATCTGTCCCCACATACTATTTGGCTTAATATTTGGTTTATGATTTAGGTTAATATATTGTTTGATATTTGGCTTAATATTTGGCTAGATATTTGGTTTAATATTTGGTTAGATATATGGCTTAATATTTAGCTAGATATTTGCTTAATATTTGGTTTAAGATTTAGGTTAATATTTTGCTTGATAATTGGGTTAATATTGGGATTAATATTTGGCTTGATGTTTGGTTAACATTTGGCTTGATTTTTGGCTTAATATTTGGCTTAATATTTGAATTGATATTTGGCTAAATATTTGGTTTAATATTTGGTTTGATATTTGGTTAATATTTGGCTAGATATTTGGCTCAATATTTGGCTAGATATTTGGCTTAATAATTGGCTTAATATTTGGGGTAATATTTGGGGTAATATTTCGCTTAATATTTTAAATACTCAATGCGAATTTATACGGAGCATCAAAAATGTGAGTTGTTTTTGTTTTACAGTTTAGATCTTAAGGAATTGGCCCACTTCGATCAATTTATTGAACCATATCGAACGTGCAAGTGTTGTCAGCGACCTGGGGAGGAAAGGGGACTGTATCGATCGAAATTTTAGTAAATTCAAATGATGAACGCACAAACTAAACGTAAAATAATCTTTAAATAAGTTTAAAAAAGATAAATTTAATTAAGAAAAACAACGTCTGTGCATTTTTTAATGTTTTCTCTCCTTGAAACTTTTCCCGCCATTAATTGTCGTTAAAACACGCCGAAAAAAAATTCTGTTAACTGACGGTCGGTTGAAATTAATTAAAAGCAAAGTCAGGGTGCATTTCCTTAAAGTCGTACGGGAGAAACAAAGTAAATTTTGTGGTTGGATCCTTTTGTGAGAAAAAGAAGGTAAAGAATGATAAATTAAAAATAAATAAATAAAGAAAGAAAGAAACGAAAGAAAGAGAAAAAGAAAGAGAGATAATGAGAAAGTACAGGAGGAAGTATATGTGGAGGAAGAGACAATGAATGAGTATGGAACTAGGGAGAAAGTGAGAACAGGAGAAGTAAGAGTAAGAGAAACGGATAGATAACGAGAGGATATTAAGAAGATAGAAGAAGATGAGATCGAGAGAGAGAAAGAGAAAGAGAAAGAGAGAGAAATGGGAAACGTATAGACAGAGAGAGAGAGAGAGAGAGAGAGAGCGAAAAAGAGAAAGAACGAGCGCAAGACAGGAATAGAAAATGTTGAAAGGGGAAGAATATAAGGATAGAAGAAAGAAAAATATAGAAAAATGTGATTACAGAAAAAAACTGAAAAATCAGGGAAGGAAAAAAAGAAGAAAGTGTGAAGAAAAAAGATTTTTAAAAAAAGGAAGAAGAGGAAGAAGGAAATAGAAAGTGTAGAGAGCGAATCGTATAAAATGGGAAAAGAAAAATCAGCAAAGAAAAGAATAATAAGAAAAATAAAACAAATGCAAAAGAGAAGAAAGAAAAAACATTGGCGAAAAATCAATAGAAAATTGAAAGAGACGACGAAAGCTTGAGGATGAGAAGAAGAAAATGCTAAGAAGCAGCAATAACAGCAGCGGTTGTAGCCAGAGCAGCAGCAGCAGCAGCACAGGGAGAAAAAGAAGCAGAGGAAGAAGAAGAAGAAACTAACAAGAGGAAAGTGGAAAAGAAGAAGACGATAGAAAAAAAGAAAGAAAATAAAGAGGAAAAGACAAAAGAAATGAAATGTCGATGGTGTTTAAAGAATAATAAAAATAACATAAATAATACAAAATGGCAGAAAAGACTAACAAAACCAAAATTGTCCCAATTTGAAAAAAATCGGAAAAACTTTAATAATAAATAAAAATGAAAAAAAAAATCATTGTAATTGTTATTTTAAAATCCTTATTTTTCTTTGTTCGTTGACAAACAAAACGAAAATAGGCGCCAATTTGGTAACAAGATAAAAAAAATTGAAATGAAATAAAAGAAGACGAATTGAATTGTAGGATATTTTGTGATTTTACATTGAAAAAACAAAAAGTTAAAACGAAATACAGTAAAAAAAAAAAAAAAAAACTACAAATTTTTGTAAAGTCAGTAAAGATTGAGTTGCCGCTATAGATTTAAAGAGAAGAGAAATCGTTATTTAAATTATTAAAAAACGGTTTAAAGAAAGAGAGCGGTAAGGGACAATTTTATTATTCAAACTAGGAAACTTGTTGGTTTAAACTTTATTTTTCAGGCGATGCGGTTTTCACCCTTCCTCAAGTGATTTTCAACTAGTAATTCATACGAGTGATTAAATACATTTTTCCCTTTGAGATGGCTGGAGTTTTAGACGACGATTGGATTTTTTTAAAAAATAAAATTCCCTTAGAATAGGGACATTTATAAAATACATAAACACTTCAAAATTTTTGGAATTAAAATTTCGAGACATTCACTATATGCCATAATATTTATTTCTTGAATATTGATAATTCATAGAATTTCTACAATTCAATTAATCTTCAGGTACAAATATAATCTGTCAGATTATATTTGCACCTAAAGATTGCAAGAACTGCATAAAAATCCGAGTCGTGCTATCGACGTTGGATATTATGTGTATTCACTAATATATACTTATAGCTCTGTTACATAACATTGGGCAATGTATTTATAATACCTGAGCAAAGAATATATTTACACGTATGTGCATGTATGTAGATACTTTTATCCTTCCCATATATATATATATATATATATATATATATATATATATATATATATATTTTATAAGTTTTTCATATAGACAAAAACAATTTACTCACTACAAAGATGCAACCTTGTTTCGATGCATTTAGTTGCACCTCGACTGATGAGAACCGAAAATGGTCATGAAAAATTATAATAAATAATTATTGCTCTACTCTGGTATTGAGCCCTCTTTTGAATTAATGCTGTGAACGTTATACTTTTATATATATTTTCGTTGTCATTACATTCATATATATATATATATATATATATATATATATATATATATATATATAGATAGATAGATAGATAGATGGATAGATTACAGCAGAACACATGAGAAAACTCTCATATTTTTTTTATCAATAACGCACAAATACGACAGCCCATTGTAAAAGACAATTACCATTACTAAAAGCATTAAGCATAAAAACAATCCAAAATCAATGACGATTTTTTTTTTATTTCGGAATAGCTATGCTAAATATCTTTACTAATTAACAAAAAAGAAAAAAAACAAAAAAAGATGCTGCAACATGAACTGACGCATGAAGACGCGCCACGTACAAAAGTGACATAATGCAGGAAGACGAGATAGTTGAAAAATTATGAAATTTGTATAGCGAAAAACAAAATCTCTATGATAATTGGTGATGAAACTCGAATACGCTCAAAAGTCATTGGTCAATTTATATTTAAATTTTCACAGGAAACCAGGAAAATGGAGCGAAATATAATAAAATAAGATCAAACCATTATCAAATAACAATCGTTAATCTTCACCAAAACTTTAGCCAATATACATATTTATATATATGAGGAAAGTACAGAATAAGAAATAAAACCAGAGCTACTCGATTTTCACCATCGAATTGAAGGATCGTCAGGCCGGCTTTAATTTGATAGGCTCTTCATCGTATAGAACACTCTTTATTACAATCTTCACTGTCGTCGAATATAACCAACTACCACTATATATATATATATATATATATATATATATATATATATATATATATATATATATATATATATTGTTGAAACTTGACTAATGCATGGAATAATAAATGCAACACAAAAATGTACTTAGAACAAAATGTATTGAAACAAGAAAGTGTACACAATATTTATATATAGTCTTTTGTATATTCCTGGTAAGACCGTTCCTGGAGAATGTGTTGACTGAGTCGCAGTCGGGCAAAGTCTCTGGTTGAATCTCTTGATTCCTCCTCTCTCCCGGTACCAACCATATTTATATGGTCGGTACTCCACTATGCAAATTAGGTGGATCCTACCACAACATATATATATATATATATATATATATATATATATATATATATATATATATATATATATATATATATATATATATATATATTTACTTGTATGGGTATGAGTTTGTGACCCTAGGTTTCACTCTTTTGCGATCATCAGGCAAACTGGTTTATTTTTAAAATTGAATACATTTATGCTCGATTGTGTTTGATTATGTTTGGTGATGGGAGGCGGAATTTTCTTCTGTGTTTGTTTGGTATGACACTCTAAAACACATAGACACACATACATACAGGTGTACACATTTTAGTTCATACAAAATATCCCCTCCCATCAACAAATGCTACCTGTATTTATTTACAGTCTCATGCAAAGTAGATAATATTGTCTGAATGATTGATTTGTTTTTTACGGTTTATCAACCCTACCTTCTGTTATTTAAAGTCGAAATATATTTTGGATTGTGGGAAGTCGCTTACCTTACCTGGTTTTCCCAGTTGTTTCATAGAAGAATACAGCATTTAGTAGACGACGAAAAGAAGGAAGACGTCATGGATTCAAATAAACATGAGATGTAATAATAAGTCTTATTTACAGAATGATTATTCTCGTGTTTCGTTGCCATAGTGATACATGAAAGAAAAGAACTTGTGAAATGTTTCATACGCAATCACTAGTTAAAGTTTCTGAAGGGTTAATGTACTTTTATGAAGTAAATATCTTTTTGTGTGTTCCAAGACGTAAAGTGTGTGGTGGTCGGCGTAGAGATCGATAGAGCTCTTTTTAAAATCACGTCAGATGTGTTTGTATATGTGTGTGTGTGTGTGTCAATTTACTTTTTTTTAATTCCCTTTCCATATGGCTGATCTAACGATGACTCAAACCTCACTTTGAAACCAGAAACGTTTTTCCTCTCTCAGTCTAGTTCCATTTTGAATTTGAATTTGACGTCTGTTCGTTTTGATTGATTGATGGATTCGTTTTTACGGCTTATCAACCCTTTGCAGGTCATTTAAAGCAAGAAAACATTTTTAGATCGTAAGAATGTTTTTTTTTAATAATAATGATTTAGCGATACAATTTTTACTAATTAACCCATAGCTGGGAGAGAAGAAGTGGATTTATACCTTTCCCAATGGTATTTATGCAAAAGTTAATATGAAAACCAACTGAAATTCGAACTAGGCTCTTAGATTAACAATTCCGAGCCATTATCCATTAGACCACCCGCACAATCATGCTTAAAGCAGCTGATATTCCTAAGCAGTCACCCATCTGGGTACTCCCCAAGGTCGATGTTGCTTAACTTTGGTGATCGTACGGGAACCGGTATTTCAACGTGATAAGCCTGTAAGCTCGTCTCTTCGTAGGCTCAAATGAAGTGTGTGGAAATATTGGGGACGATTAACATTCATATCCGTTTCTTCAGGTTTTTTACTTAATGCTAAATATTCAACTATCCCAATGTCAAGGACAGCAATTGTCCATTTTTTAAAAAAAAAAAAAAAAATTTATTTCTACTGTTTTTAACTCCTTTACAGAATACTATGATTTCCAAGACAGGTACGTCAAATAATTTTATTCCAATGAATACACGTAAAATGACATTGCATATTCAGGTGAAATGGCGAAAAATATAACAATATGGCGGCATTTTAACTCCAACTGCTTTGAAATTATATATGTTGACAAAATTATGGTTTTTCTTATTGTCGTATGCCACGTTGTCATCGCAAATTTTGAAATATTTTCGGCAATAAATATACACTACGGGACTAAAATAAATATTTCTTTATATACACAATTAAATTACCCATTTTAATCTTGATTGTTATAGTTACAAACTTTCGGCTTCTATCCTCTGGTAATCAGGTATTTTTTCTGCTTTTCAGTTCGGAATTCCTGAAATTATCCATTAATAATAGCAACCTGCTTAAGAGGAAGACACCTGTGAATTCAAATCAAATTCGTTTGCTAATTAAAACGAGGAGTGAATCTTAAATCGCCCTCTATTGCAGGCAGAGTTAAATGAACTGCAGGGCCGGCAATAGCAAACTTTTGTTCTGGTTCACGTTCCCCATTCTGTCTAGCGTATATTTTAATGTTAATTCAAACTTCAGAAGAGAGAAAAATGGCTCTAGAACGGTGGTTCCGAAACTTCTGTTCTCTGGGTCGCATTTTCGGAATGAAAATTTGCTCATGCCTCAACAAATAAAAAGTACATTTAAAAAAAATCAAAAAAATCTGAGAGAGAGTGTTAAAAGAAGATAACTGTGGATTAGAAGTTAGAACATTATAATTGATAACTATCAGCTCCAATTTGCAAACCCTAGTTACTATATTTTTAATACTTGATATAATGCAAATATATCACAATGATAAAATTGATCAATAATTATTTATAACTCATGCCTGCAATTCCAAGTAATCGATCATAATATTTTAAATTTTGAAATCATATTTATTTTCGAATATTAGTTTTTTTTTTAAAACTGTTTCTAAATCTTCCGCCTTATCTGCTTTCTTCCGCCGCACCCATAAGGCGCGCTGTACCATATGGAAACCACTGCTCTAGATAGTAGAAAACTGTCTTACCTTGGGATACAGGTTATGTAGCCCGATTGAGGTAGATACAATACAGACAGTGAAAAAGATTATGGAGTTCCTAGTTAACTGGCGCGGGGTGGTGGACTCTATGATCTTGACGGATGTCGAATAAAAAAGAAAAATATTACTGCTTAGGTCTAACGCTACCTAATTTCACTGACAAGTCAGTGGCTGGTGCGTTCAACGTTATTAGACTATCCCCTTTCATTTGGTGCTCTTAAATTCTGCGCTGCCAGCAATTTAATCGCAAGTTATAATTCTCCTCTTAGCTTCTTCATAGAAGACGTTCTTAGATAAACCTGAAGACGATTGATGGCGCCACTGTGATGAAAAGTAACGTAATTATTACCATATTCCATTAGCACGACTCGACAAATCCACGGAAGTTTACAAATCCCCAATAAATATTTTCTCTGTATAGAAACTTGAGAGTGCAATTGTTAAAGACTTTTACCCAGTCACCAATCAGATCAACAAACAGCATAAAATTATAAAAGAATCTTTGCTTCGAATGTTTTTCTTTGGTGGGTCTTCAAATATTCTTCTATTTGTCCTCGGGATCCGTTGCTTAGCGACCGCTGCATGATGAGAATTAGTGACTAGCAGAAATTAACAAATGGTGTGTGAGTTCGAATCTTGACCTATCAATTGTAAGCCGATGGACAAAATAATTATCATTCGCAGCGAACCACGGCAGATACAAGTGGCCGATTCAAATTGCAAAGTGTGCGTAGTTTCACACCATTATTGAATGAGACAGTCAGCACCAATTCATTGTGAAGTTTAAAACGAATCCTAAAATTTAGTATGAAGCAAAATAAATAAATATGAAAGAAAGCATATGACGCAGTTTCAGCAAAAATTTACGTGGGTTTTCACCATTGATTTCTCTTCTTTCACGTACACACACATACATACACAAACAGACACACAAATACTCAGCGTCATACACACACAATGCGTATGGGCACCTCGGCGTGGTGTAATGGTTAGCAAGCTTGTCTCGCAAAAACTGTTACGACTGAATAGTGAGTTCGATCCTCATTGGGCGCCCCATAGTTTCGGCCTTGTGCCGCATCTAAGTGATGCTTAGAAAATCAATACACACATAGTGGGTATATACTGTATATATAATTTTGCATTGACATTTATAGGCAAATTTTACTAAGCCTATTTTAATTTTCTTAAGGCCAAAATAGGTGTATACAGCGGATCAGGCAATATATATATATATATATATATATATATATCGAAAATAAACAAATACTAAAATAGTTGATAAAATCGTACGTGTTAAAAAAGTGCTAAATTTTATGTAAGAAAAATCAAACCTGTAGAGTGAAGGATGTTGGAAAAAATAATTTTCTTTTTTTCCCGCTTCCTCATTTTCTCCATTCCTACTCCAACCTTTACTTCCGGTGCCGCATTAAGATATTTAAGTTCGAGTATTGTCTTTAATTAATTCGTTGAGTAAAACACCTGACAAGACCTTGGCGGAAATGGTTATTCCCCAGATGAAGTAATTTTGCATTTATTTTAGTAATTATATTGCTCTGTATTAATAAATACATCAAGCTGTTTTTTTTTGGATCAATTTTAATACTTTATATTACTAGGATCCACTTAGATTATATGCCACCAGACTTTTTACATTTACCATATAATAATCGACTCTCCCGTCGGTTTCGACGTATGAGAATCTGACAGCTCAATTGATTCACTTATGAAATTTTGTGCGATAATGTTAAGTGGCCTTGAAGACTCTCTAGTGATTTACAAAGGAGGTCGCATATGGAGCAAGAGTGAGGATTGTGAGATGAGATCACTGTTATATTGGCTGACCTTTTAGATCTTGCTCTCGCTTCTTGAATGTGATTCAGGCAAGCAGATTGAAAACTGATGAGTCCACTAAAACACGTTGATCTCCATTCTACCCGCTCCAAGGCTAAGCGGTCAAGGGTGTTAGGAGCTATATTGACAGCTGACAAGTTGCTTTTCAGCTTGTCTTTGTATCTTGGTCATGGGCGTGCTACATTCCTGTAGCCCTGATCTAACTGGCTGTACATTAGTATCTTGAGTATCCTGTCATCAGACATTCTCTTTACTGTATATATACTAGACTCTCCCGTCGAATTCGACGTATGAGGGTCGAGCAGATCAGTCCCCAGGAAACCGACAGCCCGACAACAGCACATGAGATTTGATTATAGTGGTGAAGGTTTCGTGCAGGACCATCCACACTTTTTGAAGGGCCGAATACAGAGACCTGGTGCACTACGTGTCACAGGGTCCCTTAATGACCCTCCGCAGGTTTTGAATTCAGAGTTGTCCTTCTCCTAGATCAGTTGCCATCTAACACTATAGAATCCAGTCTGTCCTGCTATTTACCCATAGCTGGAGGGAGAAGAAGAGGATTTACACCTTTCCCAAGGGTATTAGCACGTAAGCGAATGTAATGGATTCGACTGGAATTGAACTCGGCTCTCAATCCAAGCCGGTATCCACTGTGCTTTTTACCATATATATATATATATATATATATATATATATATATATATATATATATATATATATATATTCATTACTAGCTTGGCTTAAAAAAGTGGATTCCCTATGAAAGTTCGATTCCTGTTGTAAGCACATTTTGTTTCTTTTATTGGACTTCTCAATTTAGCCCGTTTGCTTTTAATTCCACAGTATGATGATTATGATGTGGAGCTATCCCGTTTTAATCGAGTTATGATGGTCCAACAACATGTGCAGTCTTTCATGTCTTATGTTTGTGCCTTCGATGGCTTTTAAGAACAGCTTGATACAAGAATAACATTCCAAATAGTGACAAGGAAGGTGACCTCTTGTGAAGGCTATCGTAAGGTTAGGACCATTTTCAATAATGCTCAATGAATCATCTCTCAGACGTTGTTTGGATTATTTCGTCTAAATGCTCCTCCAACTGGGATATCAGAAGTTACGACAGAGGGAGTCTGACAGAATTTAATTTAAAATAAAATTCTCATGCGTCAAGAAGTTTGCTTTTCACATTACAAGAACAGTCATGCAGTTAGATGTGCATAATTTTCTATGCTTTTTCATAAGTCATGTGCTCAACATAACCAGTCCATTAAAGTTGCGGTTGCATCAGAAACGTCTCTATACTTCCGATTTAAGATTTTGGAAATAGATATTTTGTCCTCTCGGGTATAACCCCAGATTATATAATGGTTACGCTTATAGAAGACATGGAACTGGATACTCTTAAAATATATCTGGGGACGCTGGTTATACCCGGTTTATTGTTTTCTTCTAAACGTCTATTGAATAGGATTAACAGCAGACCGTAAAATGGTTATTTAATACTTATTGTATTCTCGTCACAGCTGTTGAGCAGGGTTGTTTATTATTAATTATCTCGGCCATTAAATGATGGATTAGGAGTTTAAAGTTTATATTTCTTCATTTGGTGATGGGACGTAAGTTTAGGATTTGCATTCAACTTGCTTACTTTACGATTTTATTTATTCACTAATTCTTTACTACTATTTATTATAATAAATTTATTTAGTATTCAATATTTGTGGTTGTTGACGTAATATAGTGACTGTCGGTTTCACACCTTAAGTGATCATCAGATCATAGGTATCCCACTATTGTGAACGGCGAGATTTGGAGCAATCGGTTTTTGTCAAGTTCGCCTGGAAAAATTACCTTACACACACACACACACACACACACACACACACACACACACACACACACACATATATATATTGATGCATGTTTCATTAATAATATAGAAACGTTTTGTCTATTTATTTGATGCAAATTCCTTTCATATCGTCTGATAAGCTTAATAACATTATCATTGAAAGATGAAAGAAAATCACCATATTGATACATGTTTTTTTTAATCCTATCTAAGCTTTCGGCTTACATAAACCATCATCAAAGATGACAATTACATTACAATAAATTAAACAATACACAGGCATAGCATTAATAATAGTCTGTTTTGTTTGCATAGAAGATTTCCAAGCAACGACAAACTCGTGCATACGAGCCACTGAAAGCGAAAACCGCACCGCGGCTCATGACATCACACATGATCACGCGAGAGTGAAAACTAAAAGTGTAAAGTTTGGGAAGCCGTTAGTATAAACCAATGGATTCTGTTATCCATTATAGGAATATTGGGTATTTATAAATAATGTTTAAATCTCGCAATAGGGGGATACCTATGATCTGATGATCGCTTAAGGCGTGAAACTGACACTCACTATATTATGTTAACAACCCAAAATAAATAAAACTGGATTTCCTGTGTATATATATATATATATATATATATATATATATATATAGAGAGAGAGAGAGAGAGGAAATCTAGTTGATATATAATCCAAGTGAACCGTATTAATACAATATAATATTAAATATTAAAACTGATTCACAGAGAGAGAGCTCAATGTTCTATTCAAAGATATCATATAAATTATAAACAATAGGAATTAGGATTACTCCATAATATTGATGATCATCATTTCAATGTGTAAATAAAATTAAATTACAAGGATTTTTTAAAATGCATAAGGTTAACCAGAAAAAAATTGATTTTTTGTTGTTAACCTTATGCATTTGAAAATCCTTTTGTAATTTAATTTTAATTTACAAGTTGAAATGATGATCGTCAATATTATGGAGTAATCCTAATTCCTATTGTTTATAATATATATATATATATATATATATATATATATATATATATATATATATATATATATATATATATATATATATATATATATATATATATATGTATGTATGTGTGTGTGTGTGTGTGTGTGTAAAAGGAAGAGGTTATAATAGTTCCACGAGAGAAAAGTGTGTATATTAAAAAAGAAGAGAGAAATCGAAAACGTTTTTGGTTGTAATGTGGATTTTTAAAAGAATTATATTATGCTTTATTTGCCATACTTTTGCTACACAGGTTTCCCGTCTCGCGACCTTCATCAAGCAAAGAGTGAATATTTCCACATATTAAAAGGAATTAATTTTTCTTATTTTTTTCCATGTTAAATATTATCGATATTACACATTCTGTTTTTCCTTGAACTAGCAGTGAAAAAGTTCTGCGTGAAGGGTAATAAAATAGTTAAGATTGGTCCGAGAAAGAGTGAGGAATGATATCTCTATTCATATCTTTTAATGGCCCCTGTGTGTTCTTAGAACTATTTCCATTTTTTCCTGTTTTTGTCACAATGCATATGTATACGTATATTCTCTCTCCATACATACATACTGCCTTATTATAAGGAATTAGTATACACATATATACACATACAAATGTACACATACATATACATACACACACAACACACACATACACACACACACTTCCTATGTTGTGTAGGGTTCCCGTGTGTGCCGTGAGCAGTCTTTTTTTTATCTAATATGTGCATATATATATTAGTACGTGTATGTATACGCGCACTCCCTCTCTATACATACATACTGTCTGTAAGGAATTAGTATACACGCATACACACACACATATACATACATATATACATACACACATTTCCTATGTTGGGTACGGTTTTTGCGCGTGCCTGTGAGTAGTCAATTGTTTTTGCCAATATGCGTATACATATTCGTTCTCCACAGGATGTGAGCGTGTGCGCATGCATGCGAGTGGGTTTGACCCCTGTATTTGGCCATTAGGTGTGCATGTTGTGTATTTTTTGCGTGTGGGGTTATGATCTATTTAGTACTGGTTTAAATTTGATTATGAAGTTTTTTTTTTATTCTTGTATTTGTAGGTAAGATTTAAAATACTAGAAGTATTTATTATAAAAGAATTAATAATATCAATCATGAACAAGGCCACAATGTACTGAGCATATTCAACTAATTTTAGCATGTCTACAGTAGAACATCCACACCATATATTATAACTAAAATCCTTGAAAATGACGATCAAAATAATGATCTTTTAAGTTTTATGTAATGAAACATATATTAAAGATGGAGCGTTGTCCCAATACACACCTGTCTTGTTCTTTTTATCAATTCGCCCCAAACGAGGCATGAAAGCCACTAAGATGTAAGCGGTCATTGAATGTGAGTGAATATCAGATAAATAGAACATTATTAAAGAGAGAGAACAATAAATGAACAGAAATTAAGAAGAGAGATCAAAATTTACTAGAAAGCAAGAAGCCGGGTGAGTAATCCATAAGCGAGAAATGCGAGAGAAGAAACGGTTAGCATAGAACTTACGGTTACATCTCGCCATTTCAAGAGTAAAATTCTGTAAAGTACGGTGCTTGAATTCATAAAGTCTAAGTGTAAAAAAGGAAACCTCATCAGAAGAATTAACATAAACATATTTATAGGAAAGGAGCATCTATCTATCTATATATCTATCTATCTATCTATTTATCTATCTATCATCTATCATAAAATCTATTATATCTAAATCTATCTATGTATCTATTATCTATCTATCATGATCCATCCATCCATCTATCCAATGTCTCTTCATACTATTATCTATCCATCTATATATCCATATTATCTATCATCTATCTATCTATCTAAGTCTTTCCCTTATCTATCTATTTATCTATGTCTTTCCATCTTATCTATCTATGTCTTTCCCCTTATCCATTTATCTATTCTATCCTATTATCTATCCATCTATTCCCCCCCTTTATCTATATCTATCTATCTATCCATATCCATCCATCTATCCATTTCCATCATCCTATCTATCTATCTATCTATCTATCTATCCCTATATCCATCCATCCATCTATCCATCTATCTATCTATCTATCTATATCCATCTATCTATCTCCATTCCCATATCCATCCATCTATTATCTATCCATCTATCCATCTATCCATGTTCCATCCATCTATCTATCTTCCCTATCCATCTATCTATCCTATCTTTATCCATCTATCATCCATATCCATCTATCTATCCCACATTATCTATCTATCCATATCTATCCATCCATCCATCCATCCATCTATCCTCCATCCATCCATCCATATCATATCCATCCATCCTCCATCCATCCATCCATCCATCCATCCATCCATCCATATCCATATCTATCTATGAATCCCCATCCATCCATCCATCCATCCATCCATCTCCATCTATCCATCCATCCATCCATCCATCCATCTTTCCCCCCATCCATCCATCCATCCATCCATCCATCCATCCATCTATCCATCCATCTATCCATCCCCATCCATCCATCCATCCATCCATCTATCCATCCATCCATCCATTCCCTATCTATATCTATCTATCTATCCATCCATCTATTTATCCATCCATCCCTATCTATCATCCATCTATCTATCCATCCATCTATCATCCATCCATGTATCTATCCATCCATCTATCTATCTATCTATCCATCTATCTATGTCTTCCATCCACATCCCATCCATCCATCATCCATCCATATGTTTCTTCTATCCATCCATCCATCTATCCATCCATCCATCCATCCATCTATCTATCTATCCATCCATCCAATGTTTCCCCATCCATCCATCCATCCCATATCCATTATCATATCTATCTATATTTTCCATCCTTTATTATCTATCCATCTATCTATCCATCCTCCATCCTATTATCTATCTATCTATCTTCCCCCATCCATCCATCCATCTATCCATCCATATCTATCTATCTATCTTCCCTATCCATCCATCCATCCATATCATATCCATCCATCCATCCATGTCTTTCCTTTATCTATCTATCTATCTATCCATCCATATCTATCTATCTATCCATCCATTTATCTATCTATCTATCATCCATCTATATCCTCCATCCATCCATCCATATCTATCTCATCTATCTATCCATCCATCTATCTTCATATCTATCTATCTATGTCTTCCATCATCCATATCTATCTATCTATCTATCTATCTATCTATCTATCTATCTATCCATCTATCTATGTCTTTCCCCATCTATCCATGATTATCCATCCATATCTATTTATGTATTATCCTCGAATATCCATCCATCCCTTATCTATCTATCATGTCTTTCATTTTATCTTCATGTCTATCCATCTATCCATCCATCCATCTATTATCTATCTATCTATGTCTTTCCCTTATCTATCTATCTATCTATCTATCTATCTATCTATCTATCTTTATCTATCTATCTATCTATCTATCTATCTATCTATCTATCTATCTGTCTTTCCTTTATCTATCTAATGATCTATGTATTTATTCATTCATCTATTCATCTATCTATCTGATATCTATTCATCTATTCATCTAGAAATCTATCTGAATGAATGTCAGAAAAAGGAATATTCAAACACAGAAACATCGATGTGTATGTGTATGGAAAGGTTGTTCTCTGCCTGTGTGAAATCACTGAATGTATGAACGAAGTGAAGAAAATAGTTGGAATCTGTTTTAAAAAGCGAATGGGCAGAAATTACAGCTGGAATTACAAAAACTATGCAAAGAGTAGTTACATGAGTCACCAGTTAGGAAGATGTATGGAGAGAGAGAAAATAGGAAAGAGATAGAAAAGATTAAAATGAGAGATCTGAAGATAGACATATAGATCTGAACAAAGATAAATAGAAATATATATATATATATATATATATATGGATATATATCATAGAATGGATTAAATGTATATAATAAAATATCTGAACAAAGATCTAAATTTATATATATATAAATGGATAGATATCAAGAATGGTATGTATATAATAAAATATCTATCTAAATTTTTATATCTCACAGTCGATGCGAATCTATCTATCTATCAGAGATTGTTTGCAATTTGAGTGTCAGACCCCAAAATTACATAACAATTGTATATAAATAGGGAAAGAGATACATACGAACAAACAGAAACATAAATTTTATTTCTGCACACACGCACATACACATATATATATATATATATATATATATATATATATATATATATATATATATATATATATATATATATATGATTAAATTTATTGATATACCTTTTTTCTTGTTCGGAATTTCTCACTACCTCATTAAACTATCATGCGATATCTTTTTCACTATGGCGGTAAATATTTCAGCCGAATTCTGGAAAACGAAAAGCTGATAGCAGCCATTTTTTAAAGGCCGGAAATGCTGATTAAAAGTAAAGAAGGCAAGGACGGTATGAAAAAGATATTTGAAATATTTGCTGTCAGATCAAAGAGCAAAGGAAAGAAAATGAAGATGAAAAAGTAATTATATAGGCATATAGTGACACAGATAGAATATATATATATATATATATATATATATATATATATATATATATATATATATATATATATATATATCTATTCTTATCTGTCAATATGTGGTTATATGAATTCATTCACATGGGTATAAGTATGGCTATGTGAATTTAAATATAGGATGTTCAGACTCATAAATATATATATATATATATATATATATATATATAAACAATGCATATATATTTTCTTTTTTCAATAAAATATCCCACTTCACTCATATTGCATGAAAATTGTGGGTGCATATGAAACTGTCAGTAACGGAATGTGCGTGGATGAAGTAAAGTTAATCTTTTTTTACATTGACAACTGTGCCCTTGTAACTTTTATGTTTTTGACACGCATTTTATTATCATCCTTATATATATATATATATATATATATATATATATATATATATATATATATATATATATGTGTGTGTGTAGTGCGGTTAATTTTTTCGATTGATTTATTTAATTAAATTTTCTTTGGCTTGTATCATTTTCGATAAACGCTGCCGTGTCTACCGAGTACTTTTGATATTCATAAGTCGTTATATTATGTAGCAGTTGTGTCGGTAGATATGCTTCGCTTTTCTTTGTCATGTTTTTTTTTTTGTGTGTGTGTGTGTTTTGAAGTGTGTGTGTGTGTGTATGTATGTGTGCGTACGTGTGTGTGCGCGTGTGGGGGAACTTGCGTGTGTATGCGCGTGTTTATATATGTTTTTAATAGACTTGTTTTTCTTTTCCACAACAGTATATATTGTGAAAACTTGAAGAAATTCTATATATACATTATATATAAATAAATCGATAATTGTCCAATGGATTTTATCTCATTGGCCGATATATATATATATATATATATATATATATATATATATATATATCCTTGATAAAATCCAGAGACAGATATGCAATATGATTGGCCCTGATCTGGCATCTCGTTTACAGTCGCTCTCTCACAAACATGGCGTCGCTTTCCGCTGTCTTTTCTACAAATACTTTCACAGTAACTGCTGCGACCAGTTACTTTCGCTGGTTCCCAAAATGCATGAATTTAAGCGTGCTACTAGGTTGGCATCTTAGTCCCACCCTTTCACTGTCGAAACGGTTAAATGTAGCCGTCTCTTCTACTCCAATAGCATCATATCTCACACCTCCCGTCTGTGAAATTCCCTTCCTATTACTTGTTTCCCTGATAGCTATAATCTCCAACTATTCAAATATAATGTCAATCGACTTCTCCAGATGCCTTGATCCATTCTCTGTCCTTCTCTTCATCCTTTCCTCTATCACGCCTCTTTACTCTCGCTCTCACTTTCTGTAACACTTGCATGCTAGTGACATCCCTCCTTGCTTGGGGTGAACTGTTCATATATATATATATATATATATATATATATATGCTTTCGTGTGATGTATTTCCATCACTTTTGTTATTGAATATCCTGACAAACCCAAGCAATCAAACATATTCTTTTACCCACCAACACTATCACTATAACAATTGGAATCAATTTTTCTAAACTCAGCATAAAGTTTTGTCACAACTAGGCCTACAACAATAAAGGGCTTAATAAATGCAAAAAGAAATAAAGAGCTAAAACTTGAAGGAAGAATTTACTCTATTACCTGTATTAATTGCAATAAGAAATACATCTATGAAACCTCATGAAATTTCAATAAAAGGTGATATGAACACAAAAGGAATCTTTTACAAAATAACACATTAAATGCATTAGTTGCTCACTGTAACGAAACTGACCACAACTGTGATACTAAAAAAAAAGATACGCTAATTAAAAAAAAAACAAAAAAACACAATCACTAAGATGAAAATGTTTAAAAAGTGCTTTAATCTGTAAATTATCCACAGTAAATTTTCGTTGGCAGTTTTTCTATTATCACAATGTGATATTTAATAACAAAAGTGATGGAAACAAAGAAAAAAGAATCTAAATGAAATCGACTTGATTATCTCACATAAAAAAAATATTTTATATTTAAAATTCTCCCCAAATGAAGTTCTAATGGACGAAATACGTAACTCGGAAACTTTTCCCACTTTGTCAGACTTTTTTCCCCTACAACTTCTTGATATATAAAAGAATTATATAAAATTTGTCACTTAGGTGATTGATATTACATTTAGCAACTCCATCACCACCCTGTAGTTTTGCAAAAGAACCGCACTGAAATCATTCCGTCCATTGGTCAAGAGGTTTCAGCAAACGTCCCGGTAAACAATGACTTACCACAACTATAAGTTTCATGCATTTTCACGCAATCATCAAGTAGTCGCCAACTGTTTTTTTTTGTGAAAATAGCCATTTTATATCCATACACCCAGTTCAAGATGTTACACCGAGGGTAGCCGATGTGTATATAATTTGCCCACACGAACTGAGGTGGAAATGTACTCATATGACCAAGATGAAAATGGAGAACAATCACCATTAATTAGAAAAAAACAAAAAAAATAAACACCAGAAAAAGAAATCAAAAGCGTAGACACTCAGTCAGCGATAGCATGGGGAACCCCTATGGCCTCAGCAAAGGAACATAACGTTAAAAGCAAAATAGTCGACGGTATTATCACACATTTTTAAGTGTTATTTTAGTGGATACGCGTATTGGAGTAGACACTTAGTGTTTATCTCATCCAATGAAAAAAGAAATTAAATCCATTGATACATACATAAAATAGCTAGACACACGTATTCGAGGATAACCGTCTATTAGGGCGGCTAGATGAGGCACGTTGGCGTTTGTTCAACACCCACAGAGTGACCTGTGGTTTATACTGCAACTATGCTGAACAGACCTTAGTTACAGTTTCTGGGAGAGAACGTGATATCTAGTATGATCAACAATCTGAACAAGGTCATCACACTCAAAACCTCAGTCACGATGACTTGCGACTTCGTGCTAGCATAGCTATTGACGGCCCCCAGTGGTATGTTTTTCAGGTGGTGGCAATTTTCATCTTCCAAGGGCCTTATGACATACTTCACTAGGGTTAGATCAAACAAGATATTTTTCATTCTCATGAATGGGTTTACTTTGCCGTTGTCATCTCCGCTACAAGTAATGTGTGACAGATTGTATTAGATTGTACACCATTGTGCAACATTAATTAAAACAACCGTTTTAATTTTATTTCTTTCACCATACGATCAGTTTTCGACCCACTGGAGTGGCAGGGTGTAATCGATTTCTGTTTTTTCCTCAGATTAGGTCATTTGCAGTGGTGTGCAGTAATATGAATCTATTTTCGGTGTGTATGATGAAATTTGAAATATATTGCGTCATCCGTGATTGCATCAGATTTTTATCACACCCAGATACTGTTGTTTCGACTGTCAGCCATTGTCTGCAACGGACGTTACTCCAAGGAAGCGTATGAAAATTGCAACGCTGCACGAACACACTGGCAAGCCCTACCAGGGAGCATATGGCACGGAAACTCTCCAGATTTAAATCCAATCGAGAATCTGTGGACAATCTGCAAGGAACGACGTCTTGGAATAGATATATGAAGTACTATCATGTGCAGTGGATCATGTTTTATTGGAGAAATACGAAAAAGTGAATAATAACGGAATTATTCTGTATTTTCAGTTAATTTGTCCAAGGTTGTATAATATCAGAGAAACTATTTAATCCCCGACTAGACCAGTTATGGGAGGTGAATACAGACCTTTTTTGAGAATATTAGTGCATAGAGAAGAAAGAATTCGATCTCATGCACTCGATTCTATTTTACGTACATACTATATCTTTATCTGCTCGAATTCCATTATAGATCTTTGCTGAGAGAATATTTGCTGAAAGCTTTCCATGTACGTTTTAGTACGATTACACAATTTTTTTTTTATATGTCTGCCATCTTTGTTTTTTGTTTCTTGATTGTTAGATTATTTTTATAAATAAACATTAA